TCGTCGATGGATGGGCAGCTTCTGGGAACCAGTACAGACCCCAAGTGCGCGATGGGGCGAGAGGCGCCACGCGTGCCAGGCGCTCCAGCTGCGCCAGGCACCCCTGGGGCGCAAGCGTGCTTGGCACGCCTCGCGCGCCAGATGCGCCACGTGCTCCACGTGCGCCATGTGTGCCGCATGGTCCAGCCGCGCCAGGTGCGACACGTCCGGGATACACGCACAGTCACACACATATATACTTCTATACATAGACATACACGGACATTGTAGTATATGTTTGTATGTGTATATGTATACGTATGCGTATACGTGTACGTATACATATTTTTACACATAAATGCACATGGAAATGTGTATGTATATGTATATGTATATGCACACGCATATATATATATATATATATATACATATATATATATATATATATATATATACACATATATACAAGAGGCTCCCAAGAAGCTCCCAAGAGGGCCGACGAGGTTCCAAGAGATCTCCCAAGGTGGCCCCAAGAGGCACAACTCATTGTTTTACGATTGGGCTTTGACGGGTTTTAACTTTTTCGGCCTTTAGGCATCCCGATGCTCCAAGACGGCCCAAGAGGCTTCCAATACCGCTCCAATATAGAGGAAGAGGCCTCCAAGAGGGCCCCAAGACGGCCCGCGAGGGCCCCAAGACGGTGCTTGAGGCGCCCAAGACGGCCCGAGAGGGCCCCAAGAGCCCCAAGAGAGGCCCAAGAAGGGGAACGCGACCCAACAGCAGAGCGTTCCCCCCAAAAGGCCCACGGGAGGCCGCAAGAGGCCCCCAAGTGGTCCGACGAGGACCCCAAAAGCTTCCCGAGGGCCCAAACCTAGGAGACGTCCAAGAGTGCCCTCGATGCGTCAAAACTGCTTCCAGGAGGCCCCCGGGAGGCTTCCGGATTGCCTCAATCTGGCCGCAGGTGGCCTCAAGTCGGGCCTCCACGCAGCCAAGACGACCAATGACGGCTTCAGATTGCAGAACCGATGCCCCCAAGGGACCCTCAGACGCCCCCCCAGCAGGCACCCAAGAGGTGCCTCCAACAGCCAGTTGACGAAGCATGCGGAACACCCCAGAAGCTCCTCAGATGCTGTCGCGCGCCTGTGCTTGATAGCGTTGTCCAAGATCGTCCAGCGCCCCCCCGGCCTGGGCTAGAACCTGAGCGCGCGCGAAGCGCGCGCGATGGTTCTAATATATATATATATATATATATATATACACAAGACAGCAGTGGCGCTTCGCACCATGCACCTTGGTCCTTGAAGTTTGGTATGCAGGCGGACTAGCAGCACGGTCAAGCCGACAATTTAGCGATAAGTCTTTGTTGCCTTTTCCGGCATCGTCGCTGTAATGATGTTTTTCGTTATCCTTCCTCCATGCTTCTTTTTCCTCATTTTCGCCATGCCCTGCGCATTCTCCCCATCCTCCTCAGCTCTTTTTGCGGAGGCTCCTCCTTGGAGAGCCTCTGGGGGCCTCACGGAAGTTTTTCAGGCTTTCTTAAGGCCTTCTGGAGGCCTCCTGGGCGTGTTCTGGGGGCCTCTGGGGGCTTCCTCGGGCCACCCTGCCTCCAACCGCGGTCTCCCTGAACGACCGGGTCACGATTTGGAATGCTTCGGAGGGTGTCTTGGGACCATCTTGGGCCGCCATGGAGCTCTCTGAGGGCCATCGTGGACCCCTGTTGTGCCGTTTTGGGGCTCTCTTGGACTGCCTGGAAGCCCTTTCGGATGGTTGTGGGGCGATTTGGGAGCCTCCCAGGCGGCTTCGGACGCCCAGAAGACCGCCGTCTTGGAGCGTCGGGAAGCCGAAAAGAGGAGAACCCCTAAATTCACCAAAAACCAACAGAAAATCAATGATTTTTGTCTCTTGGGGCCTTCTTGGGAGTGCTCTTGGAGGCCTCTTGGGACGTTTCGGGACGATCTTTCGGGGTGTGACGGCTTCTTGGGGGTCGTCGTGGACCGTATTGGGGCTTTCTGGGGTCGTTTCGGGAGCGCGCCACACACTGCGAGGCCCAGGGGGCCGCTTCGAGGCCCGTCCGGAAGGTCCCAAAGCCCACGATCCCGGGAGTCCGGTTTTGGGGGAAGGGGTGGTGAGGGGTTTTCCCCCCGCCCGGGCTTATAAAGATATAACGAGAGGAATATCTGTATGCATTCGTGCATGTCCATCACGATGCGTATGTATGTGTTTGTGTCTATGTACATGTATGTGTGATCGTATGTGCGTATGTGTAGGCTTATGCATGTGTGTATGTAGATGTGCATGTAAATGTATATGTATAGGTTATGAATACCAATAGGCATATGTGGCGGACTTGTATATGTGTATATGTGTGTATGTACATGTATAGGTAAAGGTAACTATACGTGTACGTATACGTGAATATATGCGCATAACAATATGTATGTGTATGTGTATCTGTGTGTAAATGTATATGCGCATGCATATGTGTATGTATATGTATGTGTGTGCATGTAGATGCGTATGCAGATGCAAGTGCATATGTATATTATATGTATATATGTACGTATACGTACGTGTATAAGTATATGTAAATGTATATGTGTATACCTGTGTGTATGTATTTGTATGCATACATTCGTATGTGTATGTGTATGCCGATGTATACGTTTATGTATACGAATATACATATGCATGCGTATACGTATCTGCAGATGTACACGTACAAGTAGACGTATGTGTACACAATATCAGCAAATACGCCTCCCGCTGGAGCGCCCCACACCTCCGGAACATCTATGGGACACTCCCGGTACGGCGCCCCCGGGCCTCCCAGGAACGCCCCCAAACGCCCTAGGACGGCCCAGGACGCCCCCAAAGAGCCACAAGAACGCAACAAAAACAGCCCAAGACGCTGTCAAGCAAAGCAGCCCAAGAAAGGCTTCCGACGGCTTTCCAGGCTCCCAGGATCGCCGAAGAGTTAACCAAAAGGCCTCCAAGAGGCCCCAAGAGACCTCCAAGAGGCGTCCCAGGAGGGCCCGAAGAGCCCCAAATCGCCGATGCTATTTTTGTTGTTCGGAGTTGGCCTTCTCGCGTTGTCGAGCTTCCAACGCTCCAGGACAGCCGAAGCCCCAAGACCGCCCCAGGTCGGCGGAAGAGGGCCCTAAGAGAGCCCAAGACGGCCCCAGAGAGCCTCAAGATTGCCCAAGAGGCGCCCAAGACTGGGCCCGAGGGCGGGAGCAGGAGGCCCCAACAGGCCCCCGAGAAGCCTCCAGGACCCCCGCGAGGCCCCCAACAAGCCCCAGATGCTCGAGAGGCCACCAAAAAACCCTCGAGGCTCCAACAGCAGCCCAAGAGAGCTCCCGAGAGCCGTCCTGGGAGAGCCCAAAGGATGCAACATCGTCGAGTTTCATTCTGTTTCCAAGAATTGTTGGCCTTCTCGCGTTTTCGAGCTTCCAGCGCTCCAAGACAGCCGAAGAGGCCCCCAAGACCGCCCCAAGACGCCCGAAGGGGCCCCAAGAGAGCCCAAGACGGTCACAGAGAGTCTCAATACTGCCCAAGAGGCGCCCACGACGGCCCGAGAGTGCCCCAGAACCGCTCAAAATGGGCCCGAGGGCGGGAGCAGGAGGCCCCAACAAGCCCCCGAGAGGCCTCCAGGACCCCCCAGAGGCCCCCAGCAAGCCCCAGACCCTTGGGAGGCCATCAAAAAACGCCACGAGGCCCCCAGAATGGCCCAAGCGAGCGCCGAGAGCCGTCCCGAGAGGGCCCGAAGAGGCCAACATCGTTGATTGTCATCCGTTTTTCTGTGGGTGTTTTTTGCCTCCTCGCGTTTGCAAGCCTCCAGCGCTCCAAGGCAGCCGAAGAGGCTCCCAAGACTGCCGAAGAAGCCCCGAGGAGAGCCCACGACGGCCCCCAGAGAGCCTCAAGACTGCCCAAGAGGCGCCGAAGAGGTCCCCAGGACAGGCCCACGAGGGGGCCGAAGAGGCCCAGGACAGGCCCAAGAGGGCCCCAGGACAGGCCCAGGAGGCCCCAGGACAGCCGAGGAGGCCCCCAAGACCGCCCCAGGCCGGCGGGAGAGGCCCCCAAGAGAGCCCAAGACGGCCCCAGAGAGCCTCAAGATTGCCCAGGAGGCGCCCGGGACTGGCCAAGAGCGCCCCAGCAGGACCGCTCAAACTGGTGGACCCCTCCTCCTCCAAACCCTTCCTGGGCAGTGCCCTTCAAGCCGGGTGCCGTTTCCCCTTCGGCCTAGGTCAGGAGCTGCGGCCCGCAGGCCGCAGGGGAATGTCGAGAGAGGCGTGGCCTCGGGAAGGGGGGACGATGCCTGCGGAGCGGCACCGAGGGGACCTCGATCGGATCTGTTTAGGCGTGGGGTCGAGGACGCAGCCGGGCGGGGCTAGGACGAGGACGAATCCGTTGCAGAGCGTTCCGGAATGCTCTCAGAGCGTTCCGGAGCGCGCTGAGAAGGCCGCGGCGCCCGAGACATCTTCCAGAGCCGCCGGATCTCAGAGATTCTCGATTTATCCTCGCCCGATGTTGTCCTCGTCCTGGCCGCGTCTTGAGAACTGGGCCACCTCAGATCCCTCCTCCTCCTCCTCCTCATCCTCCTCCTCCTCCTCCTCCTTCTCCTCCTCCTTCTCCTCCTCCTCCTCCTCCTCCTCCTCCTCCTCCTCCTCCTCCTCCTCCTCCTCCCTCTCCTCCTCCTCCTCCTCCTCCTCCTCCTCCTCCTCCTCCTCCTCCTCCTCCTCCTCCTCCTCCTCCTCCTCCTCCTCCTCTCCTCCTCCTCCTCCTCCCTCCTCCTCCTCCTCCCCTCCTCCTCCTCCTCCTCCTCCTCCCTCCTCCTCCTCCTCCTCCTCCTCCTCCTCCTCCTCCTCCTCCTCCGCCCTCCTCCTCCTCCTCCTCCTCCTCCTCCTCCTCCTCCTCCTCCTCCTCCTCCTCCTCCTCCGCCCTCCTCCGCCCTCCTCCTCCTCCTCCTCCTCCTCCTCGCCCGCTTGGATCCTCGCCCGGGCATTCGTCTTGGCGCGGGACGGCCGCAGGTGGCGCCTGCCGCCCTCCACGCGCTCGCTGGCGGCCCCGCGGCCGCGGCGGCCCTGGCGCTCAGCGCGGCCGCCGCCGCCACCAGGCAGCCCACGTTGCAGGCGAGGCTGCCTCGTCGTCGTCGTCGTCGTCGTCGTCGCTCGCCAGCGTCGCTCCTCGTCGTCGTCGTCGTCGCCGTCGTGGTTGTCGTGTCGTCGTCGTCGCTCGCCGTCGTTGCTCGCCGTCGTCGTCGTCGTCGTCGTCGTCGTCGTCGCTGTTGTTCGTCTCCTCTTCTTCGTGGGTTCTCCTGTTTCGTTTTTATCCACTTCTCTCTCCTTCCCCCCCCTCCCCTGCGCCGTCTTGCGCTCCTCGCACGCCTCCTCCTACCCCTCCTCCTCGTCCTCGTGCGAAGGCCACACACGCTCCTTCTTTTCCTACTCCCCCTCTGGCCCTTCTCGCTTCTCCGTCTGTCTGACTGACTGACTGACTGACTGAAGGCATCGGAGCCCCTGAGGATGCTGCGTCCCTCCGCTTCCTCCTCCTCCTCCTCCCCCTGCCCCCCCGCCCCCTGGATTTGCAGAAAGAAGGGGCGGAGGAGTTTGAGTTTGAGTTCAGAGTCTGAGTTTGAGGAGGAGGTGGAGGAGGAGGAGGGGACGTATTCCTCGGGAACGCTTCGACGAGGTCGACTCGGATCGCGCTGCTCGTGGGATGTGCAGGGCAGGGGCACACAGCATGACCAGTTGCTGTGGCGCGTTGTTCGATGTACACGGCGTGCTTTTACAGGCTTTGGGATGGTCCTGGCCCCCTGGCCATTGGCACCACCAAGCAGGCGGCCATGTGCCATCTAGTGGATTAAGCCGATTGACGGGATGACCACGGTGATGGTGGTGATATTGATGATGATGATGATAATGATGATGACGACGACGACGATGATGATGATGATGATGATGATGATGGTGATGATGATGATGATGATGATGATGATGATGATAGTTATGATGACGATGATGATGATGGTGGTGATGGTGGTGATGATGATGATGATGATGGTGAATGTGATGGTGATGGTGGTGGTGATGATTGAGATACTGATGACGATGATATTGATGATGGTGATGCTAATGGTGAGGATGATGGTGGTGGTGATTGTGATAATCATGATGATGGCGACGATGACGATTACGATTATGATGACGATGGTGGAGATGAAGATGGCGATACTGACGACGACGAGGACCATGACGATGACGATAGTGGTGGTGGTGACTATTATGCCGATGCTGAGGCCGATGCCGATGCCGACGTCAATGATGATGGTGATTGTGAGGATGATGATTATGATGCTGATAAGGATGAGGAGGATGATTCTGAGTAGAATGATGATGCTGATGAAGATGCATACGATGATGATACTAATAATAATGATGGTGATGATGATTCTGAGTGTGATGATGCTGATGGTGATGGTGAGGTTGATGCTGATGATGTCGATGAAGGTGATAATGATGATGAGAATGCGTCTGCTGATGCTGTTGATGATGATGATGCTGATGGATATGATGATGCTGGCAATGCTGATGATGATGTCGGTGATGCTGATGATGATGACGATGCCGATGATGACGGTGTTGATGATGCTGTTGATGATGTTGTTGATGATGCTGTTGATGTTGTTGACGATGATTGTGATAATCATGAGGCTGCTCGTGATGATGATGCTGATGATAAGGATGATGCTAATAATGATGATACTAATGCTGATTATGGCGAAGGTAATGAGTATGAACATGATGGTGATCATGCTGATGGTGATGATGATGCTGATGATGATCATAACGAGTGTGGTGGTGATGATCATCACGAGTGTGGTGATGATGCTTAAGGGGAAGAATAGGATGAGGATGATGAGGATGATGAGGATGATGATGATGATGATGGCAATGCCGATGACGATATTGATGATGTGAATGATGATCAAAGCGATCGAGCGTTTACTGAGGGCGATAGTGTCGACGGTCGTGATGGTGGTGCATGTGATGATGGTGGTCACGTTGTTGCGGCTGATGGTGGCGATATTGATTACAATAGTGATGATGATGTTGATGATGATAACGGTGATGATGATGATAATGATGATGATGGTCATGATAATGATGATATATGATGATGCTGGTGATGATGATGGTGCTGATTATGACGGTAATGGTAATGATCATGAGGATGATGGTGGTGTTGATGACGATGATTAAGACGATGATGATGATGAAGATGAAGATTAAGGTGGATGGTTATGACGATGCCGATGACGATGGTAATGGGTTTGGCAGTGATGATGGTGGTGATGAGAATGATGGTGATGATGACGCCGCTGTCTCCTGGCCTGCCAGGCAGCGCGTGCCCCCTCCCCCTGCGCCTCCAGCTCATCCTCCGGCTTCTGATGCCCCCCCACCTGCTCCCTTCTCTGCTGCGCCCGCATCCGCGTTATGCTCCCATGTGCTGCTCGGCCCCTCCTCCCTCACTCATCCCCGCTGGCTCCTTCTGCGCGGGGACGCCTGTCCTCCTCCTCCTCCTGCTCCTCCTCCTCTTCTTCCTCCTCTTTCTCCTCTTCCTCTTCTTATTCCTATTCCTCGTCCTCTCTCTCCTCATCATCACCACTACCACCACCACCACCACCACCACCATCATCATCATCATCATCATCATCATCATCATCATCATCATCATCATCATCATCATCATCATCATCATCACCATCACCATCACCATCACCATCACCATCACCATCACCATCACCATCACCATCACCATCATCACCACCATCACCATCACCATCATCATCAGCATCCTCACCCTCATCCTTTTCCTCATCCTCATCACCCTCATCACCATAGCCACCACCATCACCATCATCCCCACCGTCATTACCATCATCACCATCCTCATCATCACGATCAACATCAACATCATCGTCATCATCATCAGTATCATCATCATCATCATCACTAACATCAGCATCACCAACATCATCATCACTAACATCATCATCATCAGCATCAACAGCATCATCAGCATCAGCTTCACCATCATCATCATCATCATCATCATCATCATCATCATCATCATCATCATCACCATCATCATCATCATCATCACCATCAGCATCTTCATCATCGTCAGCATCACCATCAGTATCAGCATCATCAGAACCATCACCATCGTCATCATCCTCATCATCCTCATCAGCACCGTCATCCTCATCAGCATCCTCATCAGCATCATCAGTATCAGCATTATCCTTATCATCAGCATCATCATAATCATCGTCAACGTGATCATCATCGCCATCGTCATCGTCAAATGCAGTGCCATCACCGCCATCAGCATTATCATCATCATCAGCATCACCATAACCATAACCATAACCATAGCCATCATTATCCTCCTCATCATCATAATCGCCTGCACCATCCTCATCATAATCCTCCTCCTCATTACCATCGTTATCAGCATCATCATGAGTGTCATCATCGTCATCATCCGAATCATCATCATCATCATCATCATCATCATCATCATCATCATCATCATCATCATCATCATCATCATCATCATCATCATCATCATCATCACCATCATCAGAGTGAGGGGGCCGAACGGTCATTCACTGTCCCTGGGTGCGTGGCTGAAGTGGGATTCCGCGGTGCGAATTCGTGTTGTTGTTGGTTGTTGTTTGTTGTCGTCGTCCCACCCGCAACCCGCCCCGCGACCCACCCGCGACCCACCCCGCGACCCACCCGCGACCCTCCCGCGACCCACCCGCGACCCACCCGCGACCCACCCCGCGACCCACCCCGCGACCCACCCCGCGACCCACCCCGACGCGACCCACCCGCGACCCACCCGCGACCCACCCCGCGACCCACCCCGCGACCCACCCCGCGACCCACCCGCGACCCACCCGCGACCCACCCCGCGACCCGCCCGCGGCCCACCCCGCGACCCACCCGACGACCCACCCGCGACCCACCCGCGACCCACCCGCGACCACCCCGCGACCCACCCGCGACCCACCTTCGACCCAAACCACGTTCAAGGTACAAACCAACATTTTCGGCGCCTGCGGCGGGCTTTTTTGCATTCCTTCCAGGTGGAGAGCCCGCGACCCACCCCGCGATCAACTCGCGACCAACCCGCGACCCAAACCACGTTCAGGGTACAAACCACATTTTTCGGCGCCTGCGGCGGGCATCTTTTGCATTCGTTCTAGGTGGAGAGACCGCGGCCCACCCGCGACCACGTTCAGGGTACAAACCAATTTTTTCGGCGCCTGCGGCGGGCATCTTTTGCATTCGTTCCCGGTGGAGAACCCGCGGCCCACCCGCGACCCAAACCACGTTCAATGTACAAACCAATTTTTTCGGCGCCTGCGGCGGGCTGCTCTTGCAGGAGGAGGAGGAGGAGGAGGAGGAGAGGGGACGGACGACGACGACGACGACGTCGACGACGACGACGAAAAGGAGGAGGGGGGAGGATCGGGAGGGGGGGAAGAGGAGGAGGACGACGAGGAGGAACATGACGACAATGGGAGGACGATGATGGAAGGACGAGGGGGGGAGAGGGAGGACGAGGAAGAAGAGGAGGAGGAGGACGAGGTGGAGGAGGAGGACGACGATGACGATGAGGACGAGGACGAGGACGAGGAAGAGGAGGAGGAGGAGGGAGGAGGAGGAGGAGGAGGAGGAGGAGGAGGAGGAGGAGAGCGCCATCGACAGGGAAGGTGGGGGCCACGAGGTCCGCCGGCTTGACGACGCCCGCGCCCGCCCCCTCACTCTTATCCGCAATTGCGGGGTGCTACGTCAGCATCATCATCAATATCATCCGCATCCCCAACATCATCCTCATCCTCATCCTCATCCTCGTCCTCAGCATCATCATGATCTGCTGGTGCTTCTCCTCCTTCTTCTTATTGACCACCTCCTCCTCCTCCTCCTCCTCCTCCTCTTCCTCCCTCTCCTCTTCTCTCCTACCCCTCTGTCCCTTCTCTTATCCCTCTCTCTCCCTCCCTCCCTCCCTCGACGCCTCTCCCCTCATCCCTCCTCGCTTCCTTTTCCCTTCTCCGTCCTCTTACTCCTCCTCCTCCTCCCCCTCCTCCTCCTCCTCCTCCTCCTCCTCCTCCTCTCCCTCTCCTCCTCCTCCTCCTCTCCTCCTCCTCCTCCTCCTCTCCTCCTCCTCCTCCTCCTCCTCCTCCTCCTCCTCCTCCTCCTCTCCTCCTCCTCCTCCTCCCCTCCTCCTCCTCCTCTCCTCTCCTCCTCTCCTCCTCCTCCTCCTCCTCCTCCTTCTCCTCCTCCTCCTCCTACTCCTCCTACTCCTACTCCTCCCCCCTGCTGCCTCCAGATGCTGCTGCCCCCCCCCCCCTGCGCGCCAGGCCGCCGCGGCGGAGAGGCAGGACGAGGACGAGGAGGACGAGGACGAGGAGGATCCCGGGGCCGACCGCATGCGGCAGGCGCTCAAGGTGCCACCGCGGGCCGCCCGCAGAGGAGGGGGTATGAGGAGGAGGAGGAGGAGGAGGAGGAGGAGGAGGAGAGGAGGAGGAGGAGGAGGAGGAGGGAGGAGGGAGGAGGGAGGAGGGAGGAGGGAGGAGGGAGGAGGGAGTCCGGCACCCGCTGGGGAAGCGATCGCATTCTAGCATGCATAAAAACCAAAGGCGGCACATCGGCCTCAAAGAGGTCGCCACCTGGGGCCAAGGACGCCCCACAAGTCGGGGTTAAAACTCAAACGAATTTACTTCGGATTCGGCTCGAGCCGCACGGTTCCTGCGCTCCACAGCTCGGGCACCGAGGGCCTCGGCCGTAGCCCGATCTGGGAAGCCGAACAAAGCCAACCCCCTCGCCAAGTCCACCCCCATCCCAGTAGGAGCCGCGGGCGTCAAGCGCTCGGCAGGCGGCCGTGCGAGGGCAGGCTGCTGCTCCAACCCCATCTTGGGTGCCAGCCAGGCCCTCGATGCCTCCGAAATCACCGTCGGCCTGTCGACACGGAAGCCTTTGCGAGACGGATGGTCCCCGCGCAAAATCCAAGCCAATTGCCTGTCACGGCCCGTGGAGCACGCGTGCAAACAATCTGACGCGAGAGCAGACCTACCCCAGTGGCCTCCTATCTGGCACACGGCTCCGCACGAAGAGCACAGAGCTATCGAGCCAGCGGCCAACCCATTCGAGTCGAAGACCGCGGCCTCCAAAACCGAATGGTTCCGGGCGGGCCAAGGGGCCAGCTCAGGCCACAAGACAGCAGCAGCAGGGGCGGTCTCCGACTGGGTCGCAGCCTGCTGGGACCCATGAGGGGCCTCTTCATGAACCTCCCCAGTCCCACCCGCACTGCCCCGCCCGTCGCACCGCTCCCCACCACAAGAGGGAAGAGGAGGGAGGTCGAGGTCCACATGCTTGAGCCAGTCTAGGCTCACGTGGTCAAACACCTTCGAATTTCCGATCCGGGCCTCCTGCTCAGCCGCGAAGCGGGAAACAAGGCGGGCCATCTCATGGCACCCCTCAACCACAAGGAGGTCGTCGGGGGCGAGCCTGCCTAGCTCAGCACTTTTTTTGCATACGAGTCCGCGGCACGGTTGCCCAGCAGCTGGAGGCGGCTCAATTTTCCTTCCAACACGTCGCGATCCGAGCAATGAGCCGGCACCTTATGGACCACGACGCCATCCAGCTTATCGTGCACATGCTGCCACAGGTGCGACCGAGGGTTATCCGGGCACACTGCGGAGGACGGATCGCGGGCCAGATCGGCCGTACCAGAACAATCGATGTGAAGATTGACTCCGGGCGTCACCAGAGCGTGGCGGACGAGGGAGACAATGGCGAAATCCTCGCCATCACGAGCAACCTGGTCGGGGGCAACGCTGCGGGGCACACGCCCCCAGATCGAACGAAAGACCTTCCCCCACCCGTCCGTCACAACCACCGCCCATCCCGAAGCCCGAATCCGGGGCAGTAGGGGCTCAAAAGCGGAGCCGTCAGTGAACACGTGGGATCCCTCCTCCAAAATCAGCACCTCTGCAGGCCAATTAAACCTATACACGGTGTCCTCGGGAGGGCCGGGCGGGGTCCTGAACCAGCACGTCGGGTCAGGCAGGACCCCGCGAGCAAAAAGTTCCTGGGCCCGTGGGGATAAGGTTGAGACGACGACCGCGGCAGCCCTCAGGTCAGGGCCCAGGCAGTCCCTACGCCACGCGGCGTGCGCAGGGCACCTAAATCGGCGATGAAACAGTGTCCCAGGGCTCTCGCTGCACAATAGACACAAATGTGAAATGTCCTGGCAGCGCTCTGCAAAGCGCTGCTGGCACCAGTACCTGTTGGCCAGAAGGCCTCTCAGGCAATTGCGGCAGTGAGCCGTCCATGAAGCCGAATCGCACGACAACAAATCCAGGGCGGGCCTGAGGCACATCGGTCCAACCCACTCGCTTCCAAAGTGGGCCTGGCGCGCCTGCTCGTCAGCCACGATAGCATCGGCGACAGCTTCGCGAACGCGCATTTCGAGAAAGGAGGGCGAGAAAGACGACAGGTCCCAAGACCTCCCGAAACCATCAATCAGAGATTCGTTTTCAAAATCGAGACGCCATCCAATCCTGGCCAAGGAGAGCACCAACGCCGCCACGGGCTGGCTGGCGGCACTCCAAGGTTTCACCTTGGCCGACACGCGCACGGCATCCTGAAACGCAGAAGCCAAGACAGCTTTCGAAACAGATTTATTCCACCAGACAGAAACAAATGTCTTGACCGCCGCCACCGTGACATAGGACAGCGGGTCCTTCTGGGGCCCCCCACTAAGGAGCAGCGTGAGTCCCAGGGACGACCCAGGCTGCAGGGGTCCAAAAGAACGAGCCGCTGAGACTCGAAGGGCGCGAAGGGCCGAATTGCCGAGACCCATGATGTGGGCTCCCCACGTCGCCTTGGCGGCAGGCCCCGCCCTGTACACCCGACCCGCCGCCCTCCCCCGACCAATTTTCTGGAGCCTGCCTGCCGCGGCGCATGCAGCAGCGAGGCGAGAGGCCTGCGTAGGCACGTGCCTGTGGCGGCCGTCTGTCGCATCACCGCCCAAATCGCGGTGCGCCGAAACGAAAAAACTGGCGTCGAACGGCCAATCCGGATCCGCCAGCAGGGCCTCGGCCAGCTCCGCAGAGGAGGAAAGGCAGCAAGTCTTGCCCCAATTGAGTGGCAGGCCCAGTCGGTCCATCTCAGCGATAACTGTGTTGGCAGCCTGGACCAGCTGCCGGGCCACCACCCGCAGGCCCCCGATGGCGTGGACCTTGATGTCGTCGACGAGGTTGAGCGGCCTGCACACGGGCGTCTCCACCGAGATGGTCCTGAGCACGCAGAGGGTGAGGAGTTTGACGACTCCTGTAGCGCAGGGGCAGCCCGCGATCACCGTGCCGTTGGGTATCACCTCCCTGGAGGTCGCCCCAAGCCAGCGCACTCGCCGCGGACCGCGGTAGAGCGCGCACAACGCCCGTAGCAAGCGCTCGTCAAAGCCGTAGTGGCGGCTGGCCGCCCGCATGGCGGCGTGGGAGACGTGCTCGAAGAGCTTCGAGATGTCGAAGTACAGAGTGCCGCTGACCATATCGTGGCGCTTCGCATGCACCACGAGCAAGTTATGGATGTAGGCTGCCCTGTCCGGCGCCGTGTCCCCGCTCTTGCCCCAGAAGAACGTCGAGTCAACGCTGCGTTCCCAACGCCGAACGTCGAGCTGGCGGACCCGAGACCAGACCCGAGGCCACAGGCTCAGCAAGCCTATCGGCCTGCGACCCTTGTCAGGCGGGGGCTTCGGGATGAAGACGAACATCGTCGTCCACAGAGGTGGCACCAGGGCTTGCCGCTCCCACTCGTTAAGGATGTCGGTGAACCTGGTCAGCAAGGCCTCCGACATCTGCTCCAGCGTGCGAGGGTGGAGGTTGTCCCACCCCAGCCCCGTGCGCTTCCCAAAGCTGGTCAGCACTGAGCAGACCTGCCGCACGGAGATCGGGTCCAACCCAGCTTCAGTGGACCACGCTGCTGCTGGAAGCTCAGACTCGCGGTCGGCTTTGGACCAGAGCGGCAGCCACTCGCGCAGGATGGCCTCCGCCGCCGCCGAGCCCACCTGCGGGAGGGCATCAGGGTCCCCAGGCAGCACCACGGGCAGCGACTCCACAGGACGAGGCCGAATCAGCCTGTGCGCCACGCGGCCTGAGTCGGCAAGGGCCGAAGTGCAGAACTCCCGCCACGCCGCAGACCTCGCCGACGAGTCGGCCCTGCGCCGCCGCTGCAACTCATCCTCCAGCAGGCCTTCGAACCAGGCCGCCAGCGGGCTATTGCGCTCCGCGAGCCCCAGCCACCTGTCGAGGTCCAGCACGGCTAGGGCCTTGGCCTCAGAGAGCGCGGGGGGCAGGTGGATCTGCCAGGCCTGCTGGATCAGGCTGGCCCGCAGGCATGCCCTCCTGCCCCTGGATCCCGGGAGGGCTTGGCCCCATCTCAGCAGCCCGCGCCAGATCTTGAGCAAGCTCCACCAAGCCTCGGTGCCGCTCGAATCATGCAAGCGCTGCTTCCGAGCTTGCACCTCTGCCAAGGGGCGCTGGACCAGGCGGAGCCCTTTCGAGCGACCCCGGAAGTGACGGTCGCGCCCTGTCTCGATGCCCTGGACGCGGATCAAGTGCTGCTCCGCCAAGTCGAACCAGCGGCCGCAAGCGCCCTCCAAGTTGCCGTGCGGCTGCAGCAGCTCAGCGTGCTCCCGGTTCCATTCGTCAGTGGGCTGCTCGGCACGGCAGGCCCCGCCATCAGCAGGAGCGTCCCTCGGCGAGCCGCCAAGGGCGAATGGGCGGCGAGGGTCCTCGATCCAAACCTGAGGCTGCGCCCAGATCTCCCGAATGCGCGTCGTGACCTGCACGTGCGAGCCCGCAGGCGTGCCAGCATGGGCTACAGCGGCCTCCATGCTGTGGGCCAGGGCCCGCGAGCACACGAAGAAGTCGTACTCGTTGTCCCCGCAGGTCGGAGCCCCAGGCTGCACAATGATGCCCCCGACCTCATCCACCCACGACAGGGTCGCCAAGTCCTCGGGGGCTGCGTTCCAATCGGCACCCACGACGAACGGGTCGGGGAACTGGCCGAGGACCTCGGCCACAGCAGCCAGGATGTCCAGGTTCTCGCCCACCAGAACCAATGGACGTGACCAGGTAGAGGGAGACCAACAACAGCGTTGAGCCCTCGCCCAAGTGGGCCCTGCGGACCACCATGCGGTGCTGGAACGCCGACGGCACCTCCGCCAGACTCGATACGCCGATGTGCGACGCAATGGCCAGGGCAACGCCGCCGGAGACGGCCATTCTGTCCGCGCCAGTGCGGCGGGGCCCGCCACTGGCCAAGTGGAGGCCTTGGCCAAGGCACCACTGCCTGGCCGCCCCCTCAGCCTCAGCGTCGAAGAACCGAGTCTCCTGGATGAAGACTATGTCGAAACGGCGGCCCTGGGCCGCTGACCACTCCAGCACCGAGCGGGCGCCGCCCCAAGTATCGCCATTGAAAGTGGCAATTGCCAGGGAATCGGACAGGGGCGGCTGCCGCTCCCCGATCATCTCCGCCAGCTTGAGCGGCGGCCGGGCCGCAACCCCTGCGACTGCCCTGGCGGGCGCCTCTGCGCGCCCGGGCCCAGGCCCGGCGCCCGGCAGCACGCCGGCTCTCGGTGACCCTGGAGGCCCCTCGGCAGCGCCGAGAAGGTCACCGGCCGCGGCGCCGCCTCCGGGGGCGCCTGCACAGGGCTCGGCGGGGCGCCGCGCGGCCGCGGCAGCGCCAGCAGCGGCTTCGGCAGCGCCCCTGGCGGGCTCGCACGGCGCCGGCAGCGCCCCCGTCGGGCTGGCAGGGGCGGCGCGGCGCCTGCCCTGGCCTTCCGCTGCTGGGCGGGCATGGCGCCTTGCGCGACGGGCCATGCGTGCCTCATGCGCCTCCCCATCGGCAAGCACGACGCACGAATCCTCGTCGTCGCTGATCTCGATGGGAATCATCTGGTAGCCAGGAGGTGCTGGCAAGGCCCCTCCTCCAGACCAGAATCCTGCTGCCGAGGGCGACGGCGGCTCCCGAGGGCGCTCTGGCTCGCTGGGGGGGCCTCCAGAGCCGCCGGGCAGCGCTGCCAAGGCCGCCCAGCGGGCCGCTTCCGGCGGGGCTGCCGGGCAAGCCGCCGCCGAGCACCAGGAGCCGTGCAGCCACACCCAGCTGACGTCGGGGCTCCGATCGAGCCCGACCACCTGCAGGTCAGAGCGGCGCGCGAAGTAGACAAACGGCGACGACGCGGCAGAGCCCCTCAGACTGCGCGCCATCTGATCTGGTGCACCGTCAACTGCTGAGAAGGTGCTCGCAGCCGCTGGGCTGCTGCCGAGAATCGGAAAGACCGTAGCCATCATGACGACGAGGCGCATCAAGCTAGAAAGGACCGGCACCCGCAGGCCCCTTACCAGCTCCCTTGGACATGGTCGTAACCGCAGCGGCCCTGAACCTCTCAAAGGCCAGCTGCACGCCCTCGTCGGACTCGGGGGCCTGGACCCCAGCCTCGGCGAGCCGCTGCCGCATCTCGCCGACGTCAAACCAGATGGCCGGGGCAGCAGGGACTGGCGGCGGGCCGGCAGCCGCCGAGCCTGCCCCTCCGCCGCCGCCCCCAGGGGCGCTGCAGGGCACCAGCTGCACCATCTGCTGGGCCGTGCACTGGGGCAGCTGCTGCGCCAGACTCTGCACCATGGAGGTCTGGTCAGGCACCTGGACGCCGAGCCCCACAAGCACCGCCGCAAGCTTGTCCGTGTCGAGCTGAAGGACGGGGACTGCTTGCTGCACCATCTGCTGGGCCGTGCACTGGGGCAGCTGCTGCGCCAGACTCTGCACCATGGAGGTCTGGTCAGGCACCTGGACGCCGAGCCCGTCAAGCACCGCCGCAAGCTTGTCCGTGTCAAGCTGAAGGACGGGGCCTGCCTGGGGAGGCGTCGGGCACTCATCCGTTGACGCGGGCTGCGGCGACGCGGCCACCAGCAGCACCTGCTGACGCCGGAAGTCCGCCAACTCGGCCTCCTGCTGCACGATGGCGGCCTTCTCCTTCTGGATGGCCGCCTGCATCTCCACGGCCTTCCGCTGCGAGGCTTCGAGAGACTCGCGGCTCTTCTGAAGGCCTCGTTCGGCCCCCTCAATCTGGCGAAGGAGGATGCGCATCTGCTGGCTCTGAGGCCTGGCCGCCAGCAGCTCCTGTTGCAGCTGCGATTGCTCAGTCGCCAACTGTTTGGCCAGGCTCTCCCACGCGGCCCCCGAGAAGCTCCTGGCGGCAGCCAGTTCCTTCTCGACCTCGGCGAGGCGGACCCGAGTGGCCCGCAAGTCGGGCGCCCCCTCACCGTCCGCGTCGATGATGACGGCGTCCGGCGGCTTGCGGGCCTGCTTGAGCTGCTCTTGCAGCTGCTTGACCTGGGCCGAGAGCTTCTGCACCTCGGCCGACGACCACGGCGGCTCGGACCCCTTGCCCGAACCAGTCCGCTGACGCGTGGACGTCGACGGCTCCTTGAGCGCCACGTAGCCGTTAAAGCACTGGCCCTTCGAGCGCTTGCACTGGTGGCACTGCTTGTTCTCGGCGAAGTTGAGGAATGGCTTCCCAGTGCGCTCGTGCACGCAGTGCTTGCAGAACCACTTGCGCTGGTGCACGGGCGGCGGCGGCGCCATCGGCGCGTATGCTCCTGCAGGAGCTCACCGCCTCCGCGCGCTGGCACGGAGGTCCAGACCTGGGGAGGACCAGGCCGAGGTGACGAGACTGGCCGCGGACTAGCGGTATCCCTGCTGCCTGGAGGCTGAACAGCCCCCCAGGAAAACATCTTGAGCCAAAATGGCTACGGAGGGAGGAGGAGGAGGAGGGAGGAGGGAGGAGGGAGGAGGGAGGAGGGAGGAGGGAGGAGGAGGAGGAGGAGGAGGAGGAGGAGGAGGAGGAGAGGAGGAGGAGGAGGAGGAGGACGAGGACGAGGACGAGGACGAGGACGACGAGGACGAGGAGGTAGGAGGTAGGAGGTAAGAGGAAAGGGGGCGAGAGTGAGCACGGGGGGAAGCGGCGAGGAGAGAAGCAGCGAGACCGCAGGAATTCTACTTTCCCTTCTCTCCCCCCCCCCTCTCCCCGTAGCTCCCTCCCTCCCTCCCTCCCTCTCTCCCTCTCTCATCTTCCAATTGCTTCCCCTCCCGCCCCATCCCTCGCTTCCTCTTCTCCCCTCTCCTCCTGTTCCTCCTTCCCCCCCCCCTTCGTCCTCCCTCTTCCTCAGTGGCCCCGTCGTCGCTCTGGGGAGGGAGGGGTGGGGCATTCCACGCGGCTCGGGAGGAGACTTGCAAAGTAGGGCCTCCTCCTCCTCACGCAGCTGTTGCTCTTCTCATTCGTATGCTTCCCCCTCCTCTTGTTCTGCTCCCTCCTTATGCTCCCTCCTTCTCCCTCTCAGCCTCCTCCTCACTCCCTCTTCTTCTTGTTTGCTTTCAACTTCCTCTTTCTATCCCTGCTGCGATTTATAATCATCCACCCTCACCCGCATCCTAGTATGCGCTCGGTCACATGAGCCACGACTGGACGTCGAAGGCCGAGGGCGGATGCATTGCGGTACATCGTGTGTTTCCATTCTCCCCTCGTTTTCCTCTTCCTTCCCCCCTTCTCCTCCTCCTCCTCCTCCTCCTCCTCTCCTCCTCCTCTTCCCTCTCCTCCTCCTCCTCCTCCTCCTCCTCCTCCTCCTCCTAGGCCCTCCTCCTCCTCCTTCCTCCTCTTCCCTCCTCCTTCGCCTCTTGGTGCCTCTTTGTTGGTCGCACTGCCCAGTCTCGGCTGCGACCGCTCAGATTGCCACCGCGATGTCTTAACCCCAGTGCGATGTATTTTCCCCAGCAAGTAGTGCACGTGTCTCCCTGTATGTTCACTATACGTCGCCGCGCCGCTCGCTCCGACGCGCGGCCTTCCGTCTTGGGGAGGGCGCTTTGGCCACGGGGGCAAACGCCGCCTTCGGGCGCGGTGGGTTTGCTGTGGGTTTGCGGCGGTGCCGGCCTCGTCCACTCGGGCGCGGGGCGCAGGGCTTGCCGTGGGTTTGCTGTGGTGTCGGCGTCGACCACTTGGGCGCGTCGCTAACAGACGGCACGGCGACATGTTTTGATTGTCCGCGGCATGCCTTGCGCGCCGCTTGTCGAGGCTATCTTTGGGATGTCCGCTTTTCCTTTCCCCTCCAAACAAAATCCGCACCCTCATCTTCCTTCGGGGCCCGATGCCTTGCAAGCTGTTGCTGTTCTGCCACCCGCCTCCCCAAGGGTAACTATGTGATCAGCCTTGGGGGAGACCCTTGGCCCAGGACGCCCGGTAGCTCTGGCAATGGCGTCACGTAACCGTCTTGCATCATCATCAAGATGTCCACCATTACCTTCGTCATCCCTGCACGCGCATCTACCGTGCGAGGGATCAGTGCTGCGCGCTCGGCGCCAGTGTCCAGTGCGGTCATCAGGAACCCGCCCTGAGGCTCCGTCAACTCCTCCTGCTCCTCCTCCTCCTTCTCCTCCTCCTCCTCTTCGTCCCCTCCCTACCCCCCTCTCCTCCTCTTTCCTACCCCTGATATCAGCAAGGTCTTCCTAGGTACTTTTCCTTCTCATTATTCTCCTCCTCCTCCTCCTCCTCCTCCTCCTCCTCCTCCTCTTCCTCTTCCTCCTCCTTGAACGTCAGACCGACCTTAGCTGCAAGCTGTGGCGTTTATCCTCCTCCTCCTCCTCCTCCTCCTCCTCTTCTTCCTCTTCCTCCTCCTCCTCCTCCTCCTCCTCCTCCTCCTCCTCCTCCTCCTCCTCCTCCTCCCCCTCCCCCTCCCCTCCTCCTCCTCCTCCCCTCCTCCTCCTCCTGTTCCCTCCTCCTCCTCCTGTTCCCTCCTCCTCCTCCTCCTCCTCCTCCTCCTCCTCCTCCCCTCCTCCTCCTCTCCTCCTCCTCCTCCTCCTCCTCCTCCTCCTCCTCCTCCTCCTCCTTCCTCCTCCTCCTCCTCCTCCTCCTCCTCCTCCTCCTCCTCCTCCTCCTCCTCCTCCTCCTCCCCTTCCTCGCTCCTCGCTTCTTCCCCTGTGGGGCCACCCATGCCGCCAGAGCGGCAGGACAGGGAACCTCCGAGCGCCGGGCGCCGAGGCGCTGCGGCAGCGGCGCGAGCAGCTCGACGACGTGCAGGCGGCGCGTCGGCCGCGCGCGCGCGCCGCGCACCGCCGGGGGGGGACCGCGCGCGCCGCGAGCGGCGCGCGGCGCGAGCGGCGTGCCAGACGACGGCGGCGGCGGCGGCGGCGGCGGACGCGGGACGGCGGAAGTGGCGGCAGGAGGGCGGCAGCGGCGGCGGCGGCGGCGGAGGCGGCGGCGGAGGCGGCGGCGATGGGGGAGGGGAGGGATAAGGGGGGGGGGGGCGAGGAGGAGGAGGAGGAGGAGGAGGAGGAGGAGGAGGAGGAGGAGGAGGGCCAGAGTACGCCCAGCCTGGACACGGGCAGTCTGGGTGGGACACCCCCCCTCATGGCTCCCTGGGGAGGGGTTTGGGGCAAGGCGCAATTATTTGGCGCCCGAAGGAGAACCAACGGGGCCGGCGAACTTCTGATCATAATGACGAGATGCGTCTCAGACGACAGTTCGATGTTGAAAAGAGATTGCCTTCCATCCGTGGAACTTTCCAATCTTTTGAAACGATCATGGGCGGCGCCGAGGCGAGAACAGTATTTTGAAAACGACCCCCCTCGATCCGTGTGACGGTTGGAAGTTTTCTGGACGAACGTGCGTGGCGCAGTCAGCTCTTGTGTGGAGAGGAGCCTTGCTCTGCTTCTGCGGGGCGGTTGTGTTTTCAAACTAGTGTGCGCGTTCTGCGGCGACGCGAGGTCCTCGCCACGCGAGGCACCGCAGCCACTGCAGGGTAGCGGGTCCGCTTGCGCCGCGCCGCGGCCGCCGCTGCTGCGCCGCCCCCGCCGCGCAGAGCCGAGCGCACGCGCGTCCTGCGCGAGCGCACTCGCCACGGCTAGGTCGACCAGGAGCGGCTCGGCGAGGCGCGGGGCCGTGAATGACGAGGCCCGTTCGGGCCCTCTGGCCCGCGGGCGCGGCGCGGGGTGAGCAGGGCTGCCGTGCGCACGGTGCACTCCCGCGCTTGGCACCACTCCGCGAGCGCCGCGCAGCCCGCGCCGCGTCGGCGGCGCAGCCGCCCACCCACGGCGCAGCCGCGCGCGCGCGCCGCCGCCCCCTGGGCTTCAGCGGCGCGCCGCAGGTCCCGCCGTGGGGGTGCCCGTGCTGGCAGAGCCTCGGCAGCCTGGGCCTAGCTGAGCGGCGCCCAGACACGGGGTCGTCTGCGCCGACATTGGCACGTAAGCTGCCCGCGTAAGCTCGCGCGTTTCAGTTCAGTTCAGTTCATCGGTGCCCCCGCGATCGCCTGAGCGCGACGCGATCGCCCGCGATGGTCAGGGTGTGTGCCGCGCTGCCGCCGGTCGGAGACGACGAGGGGGGGCGCATAGTCAGCTCAGGGGCGGGCACTGCACGCATCCGCCCTGGGAGCACTGCCGAAGGCCTGCACCGCCGGCGCCCCTGCATGCAGGTGTTGCTCTCCCCTGCACTGTTCGCCCCCCTCGTCGCCCCCGAGCCGACGCCTCGTCACCCGCGCGGGCGGTGTCGCCCCCCCCCGGGCGCGGGCCCGAGCGCGTCGCCGTGGCCGCCCGCAGGCCGCAGGCGCACCCAGGAGCACACCGCTGCGGGGACGCCTGGCGCCCACGCCAGGCCGAGGCGCCGTCCTCCTCCTCCTTCTCCTCCTCCTCCTCCTCCTCCTCCTCCTCCTCCTCCTCCTCCCCCCCCTCCTCCTCCTCCTCCTCCTCCTCCTCCTCCTCCTCCTCCTCCTCCTCCTCCTCCTCCTCCTCCTCCTCCTCCTCCTCCCCCCCCTCCTCCTCCTCCTCCTCCTCCTCCTCCTCCTCCTCCTCCTTCTCCTCCGCCAGGCCGAGGGCGCCGCAGGCGGTGCGGCAGGCAGTGGATGGCACGAGGCTGCGCTCGCCGCGGGGCCTGCGGCTGCGGGGCGGAGAGCGGTGTGCAGTCGGGCCGAGTTCCAAGATCGAGGTCCGTTCGGGGAGGGTGCCCTGGTGTTCTCCGTGCTCGTGGGGTGTGCTTGTGCAGGCCTGGGGAGGGGCACCCTTGGCTGTGCTGTCAGTTTTGGCCGGCGGATGGTCTCGTGTTCTTGAGAAGCGTTCTTCTGGCCGTCGTGTCGTATGATATGACTGGTCCGCCGTCGGGGGACGCCTGCCCCCTGGGCGGTTGGGAAGGTTATACCCCCACGTGGCACCGTAGGGGTACAAGCTTTGCAGCCGCCCGGGGGGCAGGTGTCCCCGACGGCGGAAACGTTTCTGTTCTGCCGCTCTTCGCCCGCCAAGTGACAGCGCCGCGCTCTGCAGCCCCTCCTCCTCCTCCTCCTCCTCCTCCTCCTCCTCCTCCTCCTCGTCCTCCTATAGGCTCCGCGTCGTCGTCGTCGTCGTCGCCGCCGCCGCGGCGGCGGCATCGGCAACGCTTTGGGGGGGGGCGAATCCGACCCCGATCGCCCATTGGATCGCCGAGGGGGGCCCGATGGCCCACCCTGGCCAGGATCGGCGGCGAGCGAGAGGAGAGGGGGGGGGGAGAAGCGAGTGAGAGGAGGAGGAGGAGGGAGGAGGGAGGAGGAGGAGGAGGAGGAGGAGGAGGAGGAGGAGGAGGAGGAGGCGGCGGGACTCGTCAGAAGCCATCCGGCCCTCCGAGGAGTTTCCTGCGCCTTCGGCGTCGGGGACGGCATAGAGAACTGTTCAGGAGGCCGTGGGAATTCCGAGCCTTCTGAGAGGGCCCGCCCCTTCTCACTTCTCCCTGGGCTCGCCGCCGACAGGAACGTGCGTATTTCGCTATGGGGGGCCTGTCGCCGACGTATTGGCGATGTATCGCTGGTTCAAGCTCGATGTGTCCCCCCTCCCCGAGCCAGTCCCCCACTGCGTAACGTCGGCGGTCCACAGATGGGAACCTGAGGGATGGGGACCTAAGGATAGGAAGGAATCCAAGGATGGATCGACATCGTTTGAGACACCTCGCCCTGATGGCCCAATCAATCCCTCAGGACACCATCTTTGAACCACCGGTCACGATGCCCCTCCATGAGCTGATTCGCCCCTCTCTCCCTCCTCCTCCCCGTGTCCCCTCCTCCTCCTCCTCCGCCTCCTCCTCATCCACCTCTGCCTCCCCCTCCTTTCACGTTGCACGGACTATGACAATCAGATTGCAGCGTCTGTGAACAAACATGACTCCGACTTAGTCCTCCTCCTTCCTGCCTCATCCTTCCTTATTTCTCCTCCTCTTCTTCCTCCTCCTCCTCCAATGTGGCTCTCGCCTTCTCGCTGCGCACATTCGTCTTGACAAATTGCAAGCGCTTCACGGATTGAGGGCGGATGGTTTTCAACATGTTGCTTTAGGCTTAGCGCCGGGCACATTCGTATTATGAAGCTGCAAGGGTTTCACGGGCTCTCTTGGTTAACGTACCAGAAGTTGTATGTTAGAAGTTGTATGTTGGAATGATTTGGGGTTGTCAGGGCGCAATATACGTTGATTCGCGAGATCGAAGTCCCAGGAGTGGCATTCTGGCACGATTCGGGGTCGCCAAGACGCAACACTGAATTGGTTCGTGGCGTTGAAGTTCCGAGAATGGTGCGTTGGCACGCTTCAGGATCTTCCAACGCTTGTCCCCTAACGGGGCACTTCCCTCAGTGGCAATGAACCCTTGCATGGGGCCTATATAGAGGGGGCTTGGAGGGAGGCGTTCTTCCAGCATCTTTGATGAGTCTTGATGTTGCACTGGTTCTCCTCCTCCTCCTTCTCCTCCTCCTCCTCCGCCTCCTTCTTCTACTCCTCCCTCCTCCTCCTCCTCCTCCTCCTCCTGCTCCTCCCTTCTCCTCCTCCTCCTCCTCCTCCTCCTCCTCTCCTCCTCCTTCCTCCTCCTCCTCTCTCCTCCTCCTCCTCCTCCTATCCTCCTCCTCCTCCTCCCTCCTCTCTCCTCCTCCTCCTCTTCCTCCTCCTCACCGCCCTTTCGCCTCCTCCCTCCCTGCCGCCTCCCGCCGCCCTGCCGCCTCCCCTCCTCCTCCTCCTCCTCCTCCTCCTCCTCCTCCTCCTCCTCTCCTCCTCCTCCTCCTCCTCCCTCCTCCTCCTCCTCCTCCTCCTCCTTCTTCCTCCTCCTCCTCCTCCTCCCTCCCCTCCTCCTCCTCCCTCCTCCTCCTCCTCTCCTCCTTCTTCTCCTCCTCCTCCTCCTCCTCCTCCTCCTCCTCCTCCTCCCTCCTCCTCCTCCTCCTCTCCTCCTCCTCCTCCTCCTCCTCCTCCTCCCTCCTCCTCCTCCTCCTCCTTCCTCGATCCTCCTCCTCCTCCCTTTTCTCCTCCTCCCTCCCCGCCGCCTCCCGCCGCAGCCGTTCGGCTCAGGCCTCCGCAGCATGGGGCGCGCCCCCCTCGGTCGCGCTCGCCCCGCGACCTGGGCGCGCCCCATGCTGGAGGCGCCGGGGGGGGTGGGGGCCTCGAGAGATGGAGGGCGGAGGAAGGGGGGCCGAAGGGGGGGGAGGGGCGAGATTGGGGAGGGGGGGGAGGGACGAGAGGGGGGAGGGGGGGGAGGGAGGGACGAGAGGGGGAGGAGGGGGGGGGACGAGAGGGGGGGGAGGGGAGGGGAAGGAACAGGCTAGTTGCGCTCGCGTCATATCTGACCTGCCCTTCCCTCCCATCACTTCCCATGGCGTAGATCTTCCCTCCATTCGCACCAGTAGGATGTCGAGCAGGGCAATGATCCCGAGAGGGTGCGCGATGCATCGTAGAGCACGGCATAGCAGGGCGCGTACAAGAGCATGGCAGAGCGTAGTACGTAATAGCATGGCGTGGCGTTGCGTAGTGAAGAATTGCATCACAAAGCATTGCAACGCAAATAATGGCATCGCACAGCGGCAAATACCATAACATGACATAAGTAGCATGGCGATGACGATCACAGCGTAGCATGGCACAGCATGGCGTGGCACTGCGTAGTCAAGCACTGCATATCCCAGCACTGCAGCCGAAGGCATGACATCGCACAGCGGAACACCACATAGCATTACATTGCATGTCCTGGCATGGCATTGGAACTAATGATGCCAGCGCTGTAGCGGGAGCATGATTCGGAACGAGCGGAAGCG